GAGTTTGGTTTTGATAATGTAACAATAATGAAGGACAGCTGAATGATGTGTGAAAAGCAATTCCACTGTACAGTTGCAGAAAAAAATGCAACACAGGCAAGGAACATATGATCTGGCCTGGGCAACTTCTTCTTCCTTCTCTTTCTCCTCCTATATTTTTATTTTATACTGATAATTTTAATTTTGTATTTGTAAATCAATGTATTTTTTGTATTTTTATATTTAATGGTAATTTATTATGTACTATTGTATTTCAATGTATTTTATCATGTTGTAAGCCGCCCCGAGGTTTCGGCAAGGGGCGGCATAGAAATGTTATAATAATAATAAAAAATAATAATAGTTTTGGTAGTCTTGAGCCCAGACAACACTTGATGGAGATACATGTGGATGCTGCTAATGGGGTTCAAGTCAGACTGAAAGTCATGTCAAAACTGGAAGGCTTCAACAAGAGGCAGGATCAAGGACCAAACTAGAAATCAGGAACAAAACCCACCAAAGATACAGCAGCACAGCAAACCTTTCTTATTCAAGCAAAGCTCAACTGGAAGCCCTCTTATAGTCCAGAAGTTGATCATACTTCACGGAAAAGCTGCCACTCGCTGTTAGTCGCTCATCACATAGAACAGCTGTTCATAGATTCCAACAGTTCTTCGCAACAGCTGATCTCTCTCTCTCTCTCTCTCTCTCTCTCTCTCTCTCTCTCTCTCTCTCAGTAATTTGCAGTTGAAAAAAATGTATGATACAATATTACATCATTAGCCTTTGCCCCTTCAGTGTTGTACTCTACTGGCTATCACTTTTTCAAATAAATGTTTGAGAGATTAGTTAGGGGCACTCCATAGGGATCCAGGAAAGAGCAGAGGGGAAGAAAAGATACGGAAAAGCAAAATCATGCAAATAGTTGAAGCATTTACAAGGTGTAATACAATATGAACAGAGAGCAGAATGTACCAGGTGGGTAGCAGCCAACAGAACTGAAGAGGAAGGTGAGAAGATAGAGCTTTTACTTTTTATTTTGCAAGCTGTGTTCTTGCAGATATTCAAAAAGGAAATGGCCAAATAAGACAGACAAGAAAATAAAACAAAACTGCCCAATTGAAATAATCTTACTGGAATTTAAACTCTGGGTAAGCAGCTCATTTTTTTGCCAAGAAATGAATCAAAGCAAAGAGACATAAAGAAATATGAAAACACTTCAAGGAAGCAAATCCCAAACCCAGGAATTTGTTAAAGGGTTTGGGATCTGCAACTTTAGCCCATTCACACCAACATTTAATTATTTCCTAAGCACTAAAATGGAGGATGTTCTACTGACAAACTGCACACTATTTGTGTAGTAATATCTATGGGTTTTATGGAGAAGATCCTAAGTTTAAAAACTTATCCAAAGGATATCAATAGAAGGATTTGGAGAAAGCCCTTGACAATAGGGAGGACCAGGGATGCTCAATCTTACCAAAATTTTCTGGATTTTACTGGTCATTTCTGTTCATTCCTATTTTAATTCACAACCTGTTTTCTAGTATATTAGAGTATGTTATAAATATGCATTATGCATTTTTTCAAATATGATCATGGGTCTGAGTATGTGCAAACATTTTTTTTCCAAAATTAGGCTTCCATTTGCATTTGGGGCTGTGAATAAGGAACATTCAAATAGCAAAGTGAAAAAAAAATTAATTGCTAGTTTGAAAAGCCAGAACTTCACTAGATGTGCCAATGAATATGATCTGCCAAACATCTTGCCAAGACATGTTCTAGCCTCCTTACTCCCTGCTCAATATTTTGTCTCCTTCGGTGTTAAAATTGAACCTGCTTTCTCTGATTTTGGTTGCCTGCTATCACATACATATATGTGCAGTGGTTTTTTTGTAGAAAAAAAATAAATGTGCCGGAACTCACGTCTTGGGGTCACACTTTTACACAATGGTCGCCGATCCCAAGCCGAGCAGCATCCCAAGCTGAGCAGCACCCTCACAATCAGCGCTGACAATCAGCACCGAGAATACCTGCTTGTGTGGTTACACACAAGCAGCACGCAGGCACTATGTTAATGATTTCTGCCGCCGAACTGCTACGCCCAACAGGGTGATTCACAATCACGTGGAAAAATCCGTCAAAAAAAGGTGCCGGAACGCTGTTCCGGTGCGTTCTATGACAAAAAAGCCCTGTATGTTTGCACTTGCTCACATACACATGCAGAGTCCTTGTGTGACCCTATCAGATCCCATGGCTTTCATTACTCCCTCTGCTGATAGCACCCAACTTTTCTTCTCTACCCCAAAAATATCTCGCTCCCTTCTACCCTGCATTTCTGGGTTTCTCTCTTATACATCCATTTATACAGACTTCATCATTGTCTCAAGCATAACGTGTCCAATTGTAAACTTTATTTATTTATTTATTTAAAACATTTGTATGCTACCGAATTGTGCCACAGCACCTTCTAAACTTTTAAGCCTGCCCCATTCATTGTCACTATCCATTAACAATATCACCAATTGGCTTGGTTAAAATCAACCCCTCTTTTTTCTCCTCCCCACATCACCTGTATTCAGTTACCTATTTCTATTACCAGATCATGTTGCTTCTGCACATACTAGTTCCAGATTGCCATGTACTATTTATGCAAGTTTCTACATAATCCCAGGTTGCTGTGTCACGTAGACCCAGACCAGTTCCTCCAGGGTTGTTTTGGAGCTTGTTCTACCTGCAGTGGGATGCTGTGTCAGTCAGACTTGGTCAGTGAGCCATCTGGTAACATCAGAAAGAAAAACTTAATGCTTTTTCCACTGGGCTAACCTGTGCCAGTTACCCCATAGTGCCCAAATCACACTTGGGAAATTGGGGTTTTGGACTGTGATGCATACACTCCTATGTCCCAGGCCAGAACTACACATTTTCCATTTCAACCCCCCCTTTTTAAAGGGGCCCAGAGTTTGACAGCTAGTTGGCAAATACATCACAACTCCCTTTTCCCAAGAAAAAGTAGGTAAAGGGCACTTTTCCCCTTTACTGAACACCTAAATGCACAGAGGAAAAATCAAAATGTACATCTTTGTGGGAACCAAACTGGGAAAGAATTGAGACTCTTGCTGCAAAGAGGATTGAAATCATTGCCCTAAAAACTTTTTGCACCTAAAGACTGCTTGTGCCTTTCATTTTTCTTGACAGGTCACCTTCTGGCAGTCTTCAAGAATAAGAAAAAACTAGAGGGGAAAATGTATTGGGAGCCTCTTCGGAACAATGTCCAGGGTTGGCACTTGTTGCCCAGAGGTTTCAGATCTCTACACTATAGTGCACAACTATGAAGGTTCTCAGTTGCCTAAGGACAGCTAATTCAAAATATTTTGAGCACAACTTTTTTACACAAAAGGAAATACATGTTGGCAACCATAGGCAGCCCATCTGACAGCTTGTGTTGCCAAAATAGGAGTCTCCCTGTCCCCATGGGAACAAAGCTGTGGAAGCAATCAGGACAAGGTGCTTTATTCCTGCATGGTGTTCCCCAGCAGAAGGCAGCCAGCAATCCTTGGTGAGCCCACGTGTCTGTTGGGCTCACAATAAGTTTGCACAGCAGCCGATGCATCATGGCTTATTGGCAGAGTGGGTTGCCCACTGTCTTACTTTCATCTGCCCACAGCCCTCCAGCACTTTGCTACCAAAATTACTCACCTCAGTGGAAGAAAACAATTCCATAAAATAGAAACCCAAACAAATGATTGAGATTTATATATTTATTGAACACTTTTCTAACCATCCACCAGTAGCATCTCGAGACGGCTTACAATAAAAAAAAAAACTAGTAAAATAAAACAAAACACCACAGCAGCTGACAATCTGAGATAATAAAACCCCAGTTAAAATCAATTAAACATTAAAATGATGGGGAAATCTGCTCAGCAGGTTCAGTCCTTTTTTTGAAAAGTACCTGACAGTGCTGTGGGAAATATCTCCTTTGAGTTTTCCAACAGGAAGATGTCTATCCTTCCATGTCTCACACAGACTTTTTATAGTTGAGAAAACAGAGCAAAGTTTAGAGTCATACAAAGGTTCTTTGTGAGCATAAAAAGGAGAGGTTCTTATAAAATAAGGAAATTGATTTAATATTCAATCACTCTTCATTGCATGGTTATCTTACAATGGATTTCTGCTGATGTCTGCTAAGCACAAAAAGTCTCCCTGCCTGACCCCCACACTTCTTGCTCTTTGCCTTAGTTCCTTTAGTTAGCCATTCTTCAGCTAGCCCATGCTGCTACCTCTCATTTAGGCCTCATTTAGGCTATCCTATTAATCAGTACTGACTTTTATTAATTACTGTGATTTGCAAAGTTCATTTCCACAGCTCTCTGGCACCATGTGATTCTCTCTCCTTAAATCTCTCTGCCATGTGTACTTCTGCACAAGATACTTTCAAATCCATCCCCTTGCCTGCCCACCATCCATTTTCAAGAATTGTTTCTTGGGTACAAAAAAACCTTCTGTTTGTAGTATCTAAACTGTGATGGTTCTTCCATATGTGCATGTTATCACTTGTATTAAGTAATGAGCATGTATCTATGAATCTATGTATCAGGTACTGTCCAGAGAGCTTCAGCTGCTGGGCAATATAGAAATGACATAGATGATGCATTGGGCTGCATTGGCCTTGGTATTTTATTTATTTATTTATTTATATTGCAATTGATATCCTGCCTTTTTCCTACAAAGGGCTCAAGGCAGCTTACATAATTCTCTTCCTCCATCTTATCCCCACAACAACAACCCTGTGAGGTAGGTTGGCCTGAGAGTCTGTGACTGGCCCAAAGTCATCCAGTTGGCTCCATGGCTGAGCGGGGACTAGAACCCAGATCGCCTGAGTTCCAGTCCCATGCGCTTAACCACTACGCCACACTGACTCTCAGATATGTCTTATCTAAGTCCCACCAGAAACTCTTGTACATAGTCTTTCTGTGTTGTTGCATTCTAAACCCTTTTTCTTTCCTTTCTTTTTCCAGAATATAAAGTTTCCAGTGATGACACATCTACTCTAGAATCTTCTCATGTGAACATTTCTGCCACTGAATCAAAAACATTTCAACCAACATCAGCTAGTATCTCTTCTAACAATACTCAACATAAAAGTACAAGTCAACCTTTGGTATACAGCACAAACACCACTCAGGAAAATGCCAGCACGAGTCAACCTGTGACAAATGCCAGCACAAATACAAGTTATGGGGAAGATAACAACAAAACTGCAACTATACCATCAATAGGTAAACACTAGATATTTCATATTGGTATAACTTGGCCTCATTTAATAATGTAGGGCCAGCCACACGACTTGATCATCAAACTGTTGCCCTACTATATTTTTCTAGAGCTTTTTCCATTTCTTCTCAGATCATATAAAATCTGAATTATAAGAAGAAAAATGTAATAGCAGTTTTGTCTGCAGTGCTATGGGTGGCTTTTATCACTACTCCCACCTGCCCAAATGGTATCGTTTCCACATGTGCAGAAATATATGGGCAGGTGAACCATTTGCCAACACTATTCCAGTTTAACTTGGCTGTTTATCACTCTATAGGTTTTTAATTTATGCTTTATGCTAACATGCTTTTCTGGCTATAATGTTTAAATAGTGTGTAAATGAAACTGTTATAGGGCTTTAATAGTAATGCTTTTATTAAAAACTCTGCTTTTCCAGTCAGCATCCTTTTAGCAGCTTTCTTAATGGAAAAACATCTGAACTATACTTCCAATTCAAAGCAAATATTTTTCTCCTTGACATTTTCTGGGCAGTAATTGGTCAGTCACTCTTAAAAGGGCTTTAGTGCTAATTTGAGCTGGTTTTTAAAGATCAGTTGGATGGTCTACCTGACCATCCTTCATGGCCATACAGGTGAATTGGACCTGTCTCATCTGCTAAGTTACATCTGTTGGTGTGGATAGAAGTTGGTGGAATGCACACACATGCACACACAGAGAATGAGATAATAACTCCAGTGGTAAAAGTCAATTGCAAATCCACTTGTAGCTTGTAGCAGACAAGCACTGATTAATAGTCCAAGGAGTTTTCCAGTCATCATCTTCTTTGCATAGATTTATTTCCTGAAAATCACAAAGACATAGCAAGCTTTATCCAAGTGAGTCTGATGAGACCAAATTAGATGAGACACTAAGAGATTGTGATGGAATTTCCCATATTATTAATTCATGGAAGCTCTTGGGGGCAGAACAGGGTGTGTTTAAGCTTTTCCTCTGCATCATTTTTAGTTTTCCCTCTCATGCACAGCTGCTTTTTACTCCATGAGGGAAAATGTAGGCACATCAGAGGACTGCTCTGAATATATATAATACATACATATCATTCATATATATATATATATATATATATATATATATATATATATATATATAGGAGAACCAATGATGGTTTTTCTTTTTGAAGTTGTCTCTCAAAAGAATTGTAGGGCATCTTAGAAATGAACACCTGAATCCAACTGTTCTTAGAGTCTGCACTTGAGAAACCTACTATTGCCTGTTATGTTGGTTTTATAGGCTGAAGTCATTTGAACCCATAGGAAGTTATCTTTTGCCAGGAGATCAAATTTTCCCAACCTGCATTTTATTACAACTCTTATTGTGAATACTGGGGATAATGGGATAGAATCCAACATATCTCAAGAATCCTAGACTGAGGAAGGCTGAGCATCTTCTATCTGGATTTTCACCAACAAACTTTGCTCCTAAGTGGAGACCTTTCATCTGCACTTCCAGCTGGAGACACCAGAAACTGAAAGTGTGCCCACACATAATGACAGGTCATGTTGCAACCTGCGCAGGCACAGCTTGTCATTATGTGTGAACTCAGCATCCGTGCTGAAGTGTGGCATGTTCAGTTTCCATGATTCCCCTCAGAGAATCAACACTTTGTTGCAAGGTTTCCACGTGTCACCATTGCTTGTTGTTATGTGTGAATCCAGTTACAATGTTTTATCATGGTTTCCATATTTCTGCCATTGAGTTTGGCAGCAAGAGCAGCCACAGCAGCAGAAAATGCCCCACCCTCCCTTTGTTCCTGTCCTGTCATTCCAAGTAACTAGGAATGGCTGCCTCATGCTACTTTTTCCTCTGCCCCACACACTGCCTCCCTGAAGCCCAGCTGCAGCTCTGGCACATCAGTGGCACCATGGCATCACACCACACCACCTCCAGCAGCAGCAACCAAGGAGGAAGCCATGCTTGGCACTCCAGTCTGGTTGCTTTTCTTTTCTGGAGTAGCACTTCTAAATGGATATATGTTTGACTTGGAAAGCCCGCGTTTTCCTCACGAGAAGGCATCTCCATCACCCTCCTCACCACTCCTATCTTGTGCCTGCATTCCTGAGGACTGTCAACAAGCCTCCATTGCATGCACATTCCTTGCAACCAGCTGGAAAATTTTCCCAGGCAACCCTGGAAAAGTCTTTGGAATAGGACACGGTGCCTCTGTCCTGGGCATGGCCTGCCTTCACAGATGCCCTCCATGTGCCTGGGAGCAGGGGGAGGTATCCCCCTGGCAGCATGTGTAAGACCTGTGCATGGGGACATGTGCCGTGAGAGAGTGGAGAAAGGTGGGTGTGTTTGTGTGTTAGTACTGCAGGGCAGCAGCAAGGAGATTCATGCAGTGCTCCTCTAGAGCAACAGTGCTACTCTAATGAGTGGGCCATTGGTTTTCAGAGAAACAGCAAGTCCCTTTCAAACACCCCAAGAAAGGCAGCCAGCCGAGGCCTTGCACAGGGGAGTCTGTGGGCCAAGGAGGGAGAGGCAAGTAAGGCAGGCCGGAGCAGTGCACCTAGGCCTTATTTTCAGCCACGGTGGCTGATCTGAGACATGCCACCATTTGGAGCAAACGTGGAAAAGGACAGAAACCATGCCTGCATAGAAACTGTGTGAACACAGAACACAAGATAAGATACCATGCAGCATGTTTAGTGTGTTGTGTGTGAACACACCCAGAGTGTAGAAACTTGTGCAAGAAAAGCATGCACTCTACCATGGAGCTATAGACCAAAGTTTAAATTTTGTTCAGGAGCATTACAGTAAGGAGGACTACAAACTTAGATTACTGGGGAGAACATCCACCTTGCCTCTGGAGACATGCCACAAACCTCGTGCCATTTATGCCACATCAAATTCCAATTACTGGTATGGGTTCATTTGGAAACATTTCTAGCATTTATGTGCAACTCTGTGTGTTTTTCTTTTTTCATCTAGTACCATCAGAAGCAACAACTAATAAAACAATAAATGACTCAAGCATCACCAGCAACCCGAAAAACGACACTTCGCTGAATACAACAGAGGCGCCAAGTCATCTACTGACAAGTAAATCAGGTACTCCCAGCAGTACAACTCAGACCAAGACTTCAGCAGAACTTTGGACATCTAGTCCGTCTAAGCAGGTAAAATCTAATTTCTTTTCCACAGCCAATGCCAGTGATAGCTGTAAGAAGGTAAGAAAAGTGAAGAATTTAGATTGCATGCAATGACATTGGGGAACAAGACTATCAGAAGTCTTGTTTTAAATTAGTGATCAAGCCATTAATTAGTTCATCCAACTAATTAGCCAAAGCTCTTTTATGCATCTGTGGATTGCAACTCTATACTTCATACCTTATTTTGTTCTCAATTCCATTATGGTCTCCTGCCTCATAGCCTGTAGACTCCTCACCAGCATGTGCGCACACGCACACACCCCAGCTCATCTCACCTCAGGTGATACTTAAGTGTCCACAGCAGTCTTCCCTAACTCCCAGTTGTGCTTCTGTTGTATTGAACTACATTTCCCAGCATTCCCCAGTCACAGCTTCCCTCCTCTGATATTCAGGTCTTCACAGCGCTTGGTTCCAAGTGGTAACACAGTGGCAGCAATGTTCCAGAGTATCTCCCTGGTCTGGACTGGCTACTATTGTACCACTGTTAAAAAGAAATGCACATGTGTGCGCACACACAGAGATGGAAAATAAGGATGATCATGCAGAGTAATTCAGAGTAATGATTGCTTCTAGCACAGGCAGTACTCTTACACAGAATTAGCATTGTCTGCCCTCAGTGGCACACAGCCAGTCTGCACAAAGCTATTTATCTGAGATATCTACTCTTGGTTGCAATACAGAACTCACATCCAAGCTCTGTCTAGTATTTCCTTTCTTGCTTTTCTGCTATGCAACTGCTAGTTGGCTCTGTGGTATAGCAGAATAAAGCAACTACACAAGAAGAAAATTTCCCTTTCATAGATCAATTCTCCCCACTATAAACAAAACAAACCAGGAAAGTGCTCTTAAAAACAGAAGCAAACTGGAGGTTTATAATGTCATTTTTCTACACAAGACATCTGGTGTATCTGCTTCCAGTTATGTCACTGAATCGAGATCTGAGTGCTTCACAAATAGCATTTCCTTTCCTACTTTTCTGCTATATAACCTTTTGGTAGCACTGTGGAGTAGCGGAATAGCACAAAAACACAGGTGGAGAAAATGTTCTCTTTTGCTTTCAAAACATACTGCATTTTCCCAGCTGTGAAATAACTTGCCAGACATACTCTTTAAGAACAGCCACACTGGAGGATCGCAATGTCATCTAAAGAACCCATAAGCAACTCTGAGCAGTGCAACAACTTGATTTTCCTACAACAGGAAATACATTTTAAATAAAGATGCATCACGACGGCTGCCTGTTAGGATTATGGAGACATTGTGAAGTTGTACAAAATGACTGGGAGTACTGGGGGAAATATTTCCTTTTCCATATAAAGTATTCCTTTTATGCTAAAAATAGTCATATCTGCATTTTCAACACATCCCCAGTTATTATTCCTGATGAATGAATTTGCACCTCAGCTAGTGTTTTGGCTTTGGTTCTCCATTACAGTTCTATCTATATTCAGGCACACTCCTTACTATGTGAATGTAAGTTACCTGATAGCAGCGTATGCAGTTTTCCCATCCAGAGAACTTTGAGAATTGCAGTATCTTCCTTACTGGTTCAGGCTGCGGAATAGAGTTGGCTCAGCAAGGCTGGCTCTATCAAAGTAGGGCTGGTTGGATGGGGTACCATTTGTAACATCTCTACTGGGATACAATAATAGAAGGTTTTAAACAGTATAGGGCCACAAGATTGCTGTCTGGAATTGGATATTCCTTCTGTCAGTCATGTTGGCTCTCTGGAAGTTTATCTTCTCCCTCATACTCCAACCCAATCCTTAAGATTCTCCTCAGAGGTCCTACTCAGTGTGCCCGCACCAAGTCAAACACATGGCTTCTAGGGAGAAAGCCTTTTGGTGGTGGTACCTATAGAATAGCCATGCCCAGAGGCTCGCCCTTTGCCTTACTTATGGGCTTTTCAAAACCAGTTTTATTTTTATTTACCCAGGTGGAATAGCTTGCATTTTCTTAAAAATAGGGAAACTCCCAAAGGTTTTATTGGGCCTTATTAATCTGAGGTGCAAATGTGGTTTTACTTATCTCTGCTAGGAAGGAGTTCTAAGACTGTATTTACTGTTGTTGCATTTGAATTATTAAATTTTGTATGTCAATGCTGTATTTTGTACTTTGTTCTGTGAGCAGCTCAGAGAGCGTAGGTTGATGAGTGGTGATCCAAATGTGACAAACAAATAAATAGCACCAGACACAGGGCCTCATCTGCTTCTTGGCACAATACCAGTTCTCTTTTGACCTTTTATTTGTTTGTTTGTTTAGAGCAGTATCGAATGTGTGAAGATCAAGGAAGTGACTGCCCACTCTAACGCGATATGCCTGGCGTTCAATGAGACCCAAACATGTGTAAGTAACAGGCAGATCCAACAGTATGGAATGGCTGGCTGGTGCTGCGAGAGACATCTCTTCAGATACCTGACTCCCATAGTATTTAGGATTTTATTAATCAGTAGCTTGAAATCTGCTCAGAAACAGGCAACTAAGGCAAGTGCCACTTTCAGGATTTATACTATCTGATCTCTGAGAGTTGCATGTCAGACCAGTTATAATTTCTAAATCACTTTTGAAGGTGGGAAATGGTCTGCGTTCATTCAACATGACAACTCACTGTGGCTTGTTGCTCACCATAGGTTCTTGTGTTGTGCAAACATAGATGTGCTCTCACAAATAGGGATTTTCATAGATTACAACAAAAATTTATTTATTCAGTTGTTAAACTTATATTCTGTTGTAACTAGCCTGAAGAATCTGTAAGCAGATTGCAACAATATTACATAAAATACATAAAATTACATAAAATACAGTCCATTGAATTTCATAAAACTGAACAGTTTTTGATGATCATGACTATGCCTTAGGAAAGATTTAATAATTAAGTATTTAATTATTGAAACACACAAGTGGAAATAAAATTCATAGCTGAATGATATATCTGGCTTTTTCTAATTTGAAATTGAAAAATTCAAGAGTAGACTGTATTATGTTATGCAAAATCAATCCCATAAAGTTCCAGATGCAATGTATGCTTAAATTTGTCTTATTCAAATTTATTTATAGCAGCCTGGTTATTTCTTAATCCTGTGAGAAGGACTGAACACTTACTTGGAAGCATGTGTTTATTTCCAAAGAAGCATGCATAGGATCATGTTGCCCATCTTATTTATTTCAGTGGGCCTTAGCTTAGAGTATGTGTATTTAGGAGTGGCATTTGCTTCTCAAGATCTTTCTCACCAATGCTGTAAATTAAAACAGAGTTACCACGCATTATTGCATTGCATTCTGTAATTAAAAAGTGTTCTAAACAAACAAAGTTTTCAAACTTTTCTCTTAACTAATCTTTACACGGTAGAAACAAACTCTTTGCGTCTCATGTTGTCTTAACTGCTATTTTTAAGAAAATTGATAATTGTGTCTCAGTTTCCAGTATACAGATTGGCCTGAGCTGCTTCTTTCTTTTCCTGTTGGCATTTGCCAGTAAGTGGGTTTATATCTCTGATCAGTATAAAGGAAACTCTGATGTTCTCTCAAGAATTCTTTCCACAGCAAAGAAAAAAGTACATGCAAGTGTTTTCCCTCCCATTTGCCATGCAAAGTCTGTGGGAACAGTTTTACCAGATTTTACTCTGAAACTTCCATTTTCACAGACATAAAGCATTCTGTGATAACACTGTGAGCTGGGTAGAGTTTGTGTGTGCTTAACTTATGTCACAGGGCCATGATTTTTCAAAAGCTGTCTGCAGTTATAGGGAGTTATAAGGAACTCAGCTAAACATAAATTGAGAAATTCTTTTAGCTCAAGGGCCAGCTACTCTTCTGAGAAGCTCTTGGATGCCTCCACTCCAGCTGTGAGCAGGTCTGAAGGCAAAAGGGTAGGGCCCAAAGCTAAATGCACAGGGGTCAAAGTACCAAAATTCCAGCATGGGTTAATTTAAAGCTCGCACTACCACTATCTAAGCCAGAGGGGAGGCATTTCAACCTTTTGAAATCCAGCAAAAAGTGCATCAAAGCCAAGATGCTACCAGCCAATTAGTAGCTGGGGGAAAGGTGTGGAGCAAAGAAAAGTGTGTTCCATCCTGAGACCGTCAGAGTCCCGGGCTGGGACACCTAGGCCTGAGGTGTTGTTTGTTTGTTTGTTTGTTTGTTTGTTTCTATGCCACTGAATAGCCAAAGCGCTGTAAATAGCCACAACAACCAAATACATAAAATACAACATAAAATACAATATACACATTTGAAATTATACTACAATATAGATGTGAAAAACAAAGGAAATTCTTGGCAACAAGACAAATATTTAAAATACAGATCTAAAACTGAAACTGAAAGACTAAAATGCCCCAAAATAGGAAGAGTTTCAGCTGAGGCCAGAAAAGAATGCAATGCAGGCACTAAGCAAGCCTGCCTGAGAAGCTTGTTTCATAGCCAGGGTGCTGCAAAAGTCCCTCTTCTTAATATCTATCCACATTACTTCCTTTGGTGCAGGTCCTGCTGATGGATGTTGAGGGTGATTGTAGCATCTGGCCAAGTATAAATTAGAGGAGGGAATCCTTCAGGTAACCTGTCCCAAGCCATTTAGGGCTTTGAATGGTAATACTATCACTTTGAATTGGCCAGGCACAATATGATTACATGGGCCAGACCCTGTTTATGATCAGCTGAAGCTTCTGGATCATTTTCAAAGGTAGCCTCCAGTGTAGTATCTTAGAGGAACCCAGTGGAGAGATTAACAGAACTGCAGGTAGGTTTTACTTGTCCAGATAGTTGGCATATCAGCTTAAGCTGGCAGAAGGTGCTCTGTGTCACCATATCTATTTGTGTTTCTAGTGGCAATGCCAGACCTGAAGCATCCCCAAATGACAAACCTGAGTGGTTAGGGGGAGTGCTATCCCCTCTAGAATGGGAAGTATTTGACTCATCTGTGCAATTCACAGGTACTATCCTGGTAGCAAGAATTTACAAATCCAGTTGGTTTGACAGGCCAAATATTAATAAAAAATTCCCACAGACCAACTCTATTTAAAAAAAAAAGTTGCACTCTTTCATTGTGGGTACCAGCTCTGCTGTTGACTGGCAAATACCAACATTCTCTTGTTTTGTTTGGAGATTGAAATCTAGATTCTGAACTTGAATGGAAAAAATGGAATAAGGATATTCATCAGATGACTTAATCTCTTCAGAAACAGATGTGTTTTCCATGTTGTAACTTCCCTGGTGGATGCTTAGGAGAAATATTTTTGTTCTTCTCTCAGGAACCATTCACAGAAAGCATAATGGGAATGAAGCTTAGCATACTTTAAAAAGGCAGGAGAGTAATGCAAAAAGCACAAATCAGGGATATCATATATGAAGTTAGTACACTGAGCTATTGTATTGTAATAGAAATCCAAACGTCTGATTTTGGGTTTTTCATGAGCTGGCCTTAGGCAAACTACTAAGCAATTTCATACAACACAACAACCCATCATGATTAACAAGCCAAGTAGGTTGCTCCACTGTGTGAATTCCCCCTGGGTGTCTAGTTGCTGGGCAACAAGCCTCCCTGACAATCCATGCCTTGTTCTAGCAGTGTTGTACTTATGATAGGCTGTCATATTGAGCAATTGATCTACTTGAGCAATTTATCCCATCATGGGTGCAGGGAAGCAGCAAGCAAGTCATTTGGCCAGAGTAGCAAATCCCTCTTGCCACTGGCTTGGTGCCTCCCACCATGATAGTTATTCCTTTTCAGCTCAACATGGCTTTCCCCCATCTCTTCCCATTGCTTTTAGAGACTACAGATGATCATCTCTGAACTGACAGCCAGCAATAGCCACTCCAAAGTGCCCAAGTGGCAGATTGGAGGGGTGTCACTGCTCGGTCACCTTGGTTTTGTTCCTCAAGTGCATGTAATATTGTTTGTAATTAAAACTAATTAGAGTTGCACAAGTGTGCACTTCTGTGGATCCAAAATGTGCAGCCTCAACTGGGCAATGTCCTGGGGCATACATGTTGGCAAAGTGCAGCAAGTACCCTCCTTGGACATTGTTCCAGAGAGGCTGTAAAGAGATTTATTTATACATACATACATACATACATACATACATACATACATCGCTTTCTCATGACAGCTGCCAAAATGCAAGCTGTCAGGGAAAGCAAATGCCAAGTAAATATCCCCCTTTGCAATAAGATCCTTTACTTATTTATTTATTATAAATAAGAGCTCTTTTTTATGCTAACTGCCGCCTCTATGGTTGCTCCTATTCTAGCCTAGTAAGTGCCAAATATTCTGCCCATATCAGTATTTCTGACATCATGGTTAGCAGCTATGCAGGATGAGTGAAATTGGGCTTAATAGCGCAAGGTGGACAGGGGAGTCCCTTGATAAATAGTGAAGGGAGTCTGTTCTTGAAATAGGAAGCATCATGGAATAAAGCAGGTAAGAAGAGCAGAAAAATATAGAATTGAGAGAGGGATGAAAGGGGTACGAAGGATGAGGGTTGATGAAGATTATGAAGAAAGAGTATAATGGCCAGTGTGTGGATTTAAGGAGTCAGTTGCTCACAACGGTGAAACAAAATTAGTGAAAGCTAAATCAGAAATCAGCTGGAAAAAGGAAGTACAGAAGGGAGGAAGTTCCTCTAGTCTAGATAAGATGTGTCCACAGAGAATGGACTTTCCCAATCAAAACAATTATCTGTCTAACCAAATGGTCTGTTTCAGACACTTCTGGATTTTTAGTTAAAGGATTACAACATTGTTTTGACTTATAACAAGCTATTCATTCAATGTGTTATCCAAAGTACCTCCTTCCCTTTCTGCAACAGGATGAACAAGATTTAACACTGAAAAAAGAGAATACTGTTACAGTCTTACTCATGATATTCCTTTATATTTCCTATCTTTCCCTAATGTTCTGCTTCTCTTGGAGTAAGTATGTTCCAGGAAATTGGTTCCTTGGTCAATAGAAAGTTATTTAGGGACTACTTCAGATATAACTTACTAATCACTTGCTGGTCCAGATAATACCTACACATGGAGATATCATGCAAGGACTGTAATTTTTTTAAAGAATCTGTGGGTGGGGATCCTAAGTTTCTGACCAGTGATGGCTGTAGTTTCAATTTATAGCTTGCCTTGTCTGAATTTGTAGCAGACATGGAAAAACCCAACATTCAACTGAAGTCACAAAGCTCAAGCTAAGCCTTCCCATCCACCAAACCTGCCTAGACTAGAACATTGTGTTATTTTAGAATATTTATTTTTGGCTCTGATTTACAAGTGTCTGGCCCTGATCCCAACCCTCAGGACATGTATATATTGAATTCCAGAAGCTCCATCCTGTTTGACGCACACATTGACCAAGAGGAGGAAAAAGCTGCAACACCATAATGTCTCCCCCATCTCCTCCCACCTAAGAGTTACAATTGTTTAGGAGAAGAAGTATCACTTTATTTCAATCTCTTGTGTGGGAAGATTTTATCCCTTGTGAAACATGTGAACAAGGAGTCATCCAAACTACTCAAGGCATTTCTGAAACAGGAAGGCCAAATGTTTGTTTGTGATTTCCCTCATCTCTTCCCTGGTGACAATGAAAAAGGAGATGGTGTTCATTATTTCAAAACAATAAGAGCTGTCTTGGCTTCTTGTAATTTCAAGGCTTAAAGAGGACACTCCTAAATTGAATTTATTTTATTTAACATTTATTTATTTAACATTTATTATGAAATGTTAAAATGCCATTGATTATAATTAGCAGCAACTCATAATTAGATCAAGGATGCAGGTGGCACAGTGGTTTAAACTGCTGTGCTGCTGTGCTGGTTGTTCAAAAGGTCACCGGTTCGAATCTGCACAATGGGGTGAGTTCCCATTGCTCCATCCCAGTTCCTGCCAACCTTGCAGTTCGAAAGCATGCAAATGAAAATAGATAAAAAGGCACCACTTCGGTGGGAAGGTAAACAGCATTCCATGCACTTCGGTATGTAGTCATGCCAGCCACATGACCACGGAGACTGTGTGCAGACAAACGCTGGCTCCCTCGGCTAGGAAACGGAGATGAGCACTGCCCCCTACAGTCAGGCATGACTTGACTTAACGTCAAGGGGAAACCTTTACCCTTTTTATAATTAGATCAGTAAGAATTCCCTTATAAATGCAAGTATAATGTGTTAGGCTTAAACCTCTAGAAGGCTGCAAATTGTCCATCCATGGTGTAAAGCTTGGTCCTCCTAAGCCCCTTTAGTCATACCCTCACTTTCTGCTAAGAATAACCCATCACACAAAGTAGGCACCAAACATTCACTAGTACATGATGATGTAACATTCCTTTGCATGCTTGAGGCAGATTATACTATTGTAGTTGAGCTGAAAATCCTTAGCCAGGAACATGGGTTGTAAGCTGCTGTCCCTAACTCTCATCAGTTCCTTAAGATAATTGTTTCTGGTGTCCCACTGCCAACCTCTAACTCACACAATCCTCTGGCCATGAGGTCCACAAACTATTGGAACTGTGTGAAGCACTGAACCCTTATTTATTTTATTTATTTATTTAAAGCTTTTGTCTGCTGTCCCCTTACTATATAGCCTCGGGACAGCTCACACAAATAAATAAATATAATACAAATACAGATAAAACCCGGAAACACCCTGGCTGCACAATTAAAACCTATAAATATTATATGTTGTTAAAATATTGTTTGAATAAAAAGGTCTTAGCCTGGGCACCCTTTCATCTTCAGAAGATGCTCAGCATTACGGAAGGTGACAATCCCTATCTTACCAACTGCTATTGATATAGTATAAATTAAAGCTGAAAAGCTAAAGAGAAAGTGCTTGATGTCTGTTTGTCTTTTTTCCCTTGGCCCTTTCCAGCAAGATTATGTAGTGATGAAAAGAAATGTCCTAGAAGAGATGTTTTGTGAAAAGCAGGCATGCCACATCAAACTGGCAGAAACCAATGAGCATCATGGCTGTAACCTGTTTGTTGGAGTTAATGGAAAAGGTGAATTGAGCTAATTTACTTAACTTTCATAAGCAACAAGCTATGGGCTACTGAGGGCACTTCAGACAGATAGCTTCTAGCCTTATTAATCAGAAGGCACTGTGCAGTTGTTCATTTTCTTAAATAATTTTCCTTAAGAAAAATACAAAGGAAATCCCAAAGAAAGGGGAATGATTACAAACAGTGGGCCAGCTCACATACTCAGCCTACCGTGTCTTTGAACAGCCCATCATGGCTTATTTAAGCCATTATGATATTCAAGCCATAGCTACAGCTTGCTATATCGTCTGAATTCAGGGACTGTATGTTATGTGAAAGTTGTTTCATATGGCTAGATGTTTAGCATGCATCCAGGATTTAAGCCGCAGTGGGTGTATTTATTTAAAATAATTGTATTTATTTATTTACTTGGTCTGTTTAGATTGTGCAAATAGGGTCAATATCTGAACATCCTGGACAATATAATAAGTGAGGCAGGGCATTTGTGCAATAATATCCTCATCTGAAAGCACACCCGAGTTTCTGTATGAATGGCAGGGAGTCTTTCCCTTGAAATGGAACATCCCCCATTGCAGGAAAATAAACTGGGGAGTTGGGGGGGGGGGGGGCTCCATGGACTCAAATGGAAATTTCCACTCCCAGCTTTTTTATCTGCCCCTTCAGGTAGTGATGGACTTCTGAGCGAAAAGACAGGGAAGAAAGGTTATCACACTTCCCAGAGGGATACAGTAGTAGTCCAAATAGGAACCATGTGTACTTACACAGAATGTACACAGAAGTAAAATGAGTGCACATACTATTTTCTGCTATGCTGCATTTGAAAAATGTTAATCTGGCCCTGAATCTCTCCACAACTATAGTCCAACCAGTATCTCTTTGCATATCATATATTGCAAAAGCATTCTAATATTCATCTAAAATTGTGTGTATTAGCAGATGAGTGATGGCTGTGAATGTTACGAGCGAACTCCTTTGACAGCCCGTCCAGTTCCTCCTTGAAAGTATACTGGCCCTGTGAAAGAAAAGCAACAGGCTTTTTCTCTAATGGCAGTCCTCACTTTAATTGCTTAATAATAGCAGTGTGTATCTGGAGTTGTTCAAAATGCTCAGTTGCAATACAAATGCTTCTTTTCTTTTTTCATCAGTCTGATAAACAGCCTAAATAAAATGCAAAGGTTATTGAAGCTGTATGCATGAAAAAGCTTAATGTCCAAATAGCATTTTCCAGTTTTATAATAATAGATACCAAAGAAAAATTACAAATGTACACAAGTTCTGTTATGTAATTCATCTTACTTTGTTTTTTGGGTGTTTCCTGGTTTTGTTTTTGCTTTTTTCTTTGTTTGGGGTTTTTTTGTTTTTGTTTTTGTTTTTTTTTGATTTGGGAAACTGCAGGTACAGATGCTTTACAAGATATTCTTGCAAATTACAAGTCTGCATTGACTAAGGTAAAAAATTTCTGAATATTTACATATGGAGTTTACATGTAGTAAGAAACTATAATATCTACAAGTATTTTAAAATCTGAATAAAATGTTCTGAGTGCGGGTTGTGGAAATCATATAAATGTATTGGGATATGTTGGGGGAGGTTGTTTGTTGTGTTTTGAGGAATGCAGGCTTAATGTTCAGTATTCAGATTAAATTTATCCTAGATAAAACAACACTATTTATAGAAAATAGATTGGCCATAATTGCATGTTTTCCTGGTGGATGAATAATTTTATTTATTTAGTATTTAATTTCTATACCATCCAACAACCAAAGGTCTCTATACAATTGGGTGGAGGTGCAATTTGAAACAAATTAAAAGCAAATTTTCAGCACATTTACTGAACATTCGAACAGTCTTCTCTATCATTCTTTTTCTGTATCTCACATATGGACACACCAGACACAAGATACCCTACACATGACTGCACAGTATTTCCTTATATATACTGGACAGTATCATATGGTCTCATTCTGCCAATGCACATTATGTTGCTGTAGTGTAAGGGCCCTCCAGCACAAACTAACACTCTTTCTAAGGTGCTATCAGCCACTTATTATGGAACAGGAAATTTGGATTAGCAGAATGACACCATAGAATACTTGCCCATTGAGATATTCGCTTACAGATTATTCCTGTTTTACAGATGAACAGTATGAAAACATATTCAGAAAGATGTGCTTCAGTATTGTGAAGTCATCATCATTGGGTTGATCAGATTAAAAAATACTGTATAAGAATGTGCCATAGGAGTTTGCCCAATTATATTGCTAGCCTGCACTGCTAAAGTATTTCTAATCAGGAACCTCAGTAGTAATTCATAACACTTTTTTGGCACTTTACATCTTCAAAGCATGATAATACATTAATTAATTAATCCTCTCTATTCCCCAGCGAGGCAGCTCTCTGCTTGTAAAGTTGGACTCCAGGCACCTGTAAAAATAGCACTTGAACAGCTAAATGTGCCCATAGCCGTTGCAGCTGCTATGCCGTAAATCTCAGGGAAGCAGGGCTCTTGTCATGGGTGAAAAATAACTTGTTAAAAATTGGGTCTGATTCAGGAAATAACAGGATGCAATCCATAAGGGCCTTCTGCACATAAGGGTGTCAGCTTGGCAGGGAGAGATTACAAAGCCCAAGACAGAGATAGGGAAAATTAACTTTAAAATAAGCAAGGCTGCACATTTAACAATGCCCAACTTCCATTTTTCACACTGACCCAATGTTCAAAAGAGAAAATCACTGTTGGAAGATTAAAATAAACTGGTACTAAAGACTGGTTTGAGAGCTGTAACATTTTCAGTATTTGTAATGACTGCAGATTAAACTAAATGTAGCCCAGGAAATTCACGACTCATGTATTTCTTTTTAAGTTAAAAGAACTTACCAGGGTAACGGATTTGAGCCAGAGTGCTTGGAAAGGAACTTTAACCATTCCCCATAAACCATTTCAATAGATCTAATTTTCCCTTTGCCTCCAATGCTAAAGTTTTTTGACAAAGAAAAACATACATGTACTCTTCTATTACCAGGCTCTGTAGCAGCACCATTCCTACATTTAGTACCAAACTAGATAAGATGTTTCAAGCCCATAACTAGATTTTCTTTCTTTACAACTATGTAAAAAGCATGTAAAAGTCTGCCAGAATGCCCCCAATTCGTATATCTAAATTTTTCCCCAAAGGGCAAAGAGAAGGTTCAAGAAGGGCAATTTTCATCAGGAAAATATGGGGGGAAGGAAATAACTAGGCTCCTTAGAATCATGATCTCAGTCTAAGCATTGATCTTTCCCAAGCAGGGTTCACTTCAAATATCCAAAACCCATCTGATAGAAAATAGACTTCAGAGGTGACCTGGGAGGGTTAGAGTGGAAGGCAATGGATGTTAGAACCTGACTTCTTGCAGCAGAGGCATGTGTCTTAATAAAACCTTTTATTGCAGTAATTCCAGTAATTAGCTACAACCCATTAAAGTCCCAATAAAATGGCAGTTAACAGAGCACAACAAAGTTGCTAGTCAGGAATCAGTTCATAAGCATCACAACAAAAGACCCAGATTTCCTCAGGTTCAGCACACAGAACAAGTTCCAGTAAGTTCATGGTACCAGAGAAAGTGGGAGGCATCCAGTGTATTGTTTCCAGCAAAGTCTACTGCAGGGCAGCGGTCACTCAAGATAACTATTGGAAATTAGATGTTGGCAGGGAAACTGGTCTCTTGGGGTGTTGCAGGACCTCATCAGATCCCTTCCATGCTTAAAAGAAGTATTATCATCTTCTGAGAATTTCCCTACTTCAGTGTTTTAGGGTTTTTAGGCAGTGAATAATCTTATGACAATTAGTGTCTAGAGAAATAATAATAAATGTTTTTTGAGTCTGAATTTATTTATTTATTTATCTATCTATCTATCTAAAACATTTATATCCCATCCTACATGAGAAAAACACCCCAGGATGGCCTACAAAATTATAACAACTAAGAACAACAAGAAATAATAACAAAAAATATAACAATTAGTAAAAACAACAAATAACCACCACAAACAACAAAAACATAATATCAGCAAAAGTCCAAAGCAAAAGTGAAAGCAAAAACAAAAAGTGACTGTGGATGTTAAAACCAATTACAATTTCAAATTCTTAAAATGATGGGTAAATAAAAAGTTTTTTACCTGGCACCGGAAGGAATATAAAGTTCCTTCAGGAATCCTGGTCCCAAGCCATTTAGGGCTTTATAGGTTAACACCAGCACCTTAAATTGGGCTTGGACTTCAATCATGAGCCAGTGGAGCTGATAGAGGACCAGTGTTATATGAGAATGACAAATGATATTTTAAACATTAGCTTGCCAGTGGATGCAGGTACAGTCTGTTACAGCACATGCACAGCTGTGGCTGAGAGTGTGGATTTTGCCAGCCCTTGTAAAGTAGCTCCGTGTTAGTATTTTTGTTTTGCTGAGTGGGAGATGTAGCATTATTATATGAAAACCCTTTCAGGAATTAAACAATCAAAGGAAAGAATGGAAAGTGTCGGCTGTGGTTGACCATTGTCCCATTGTCAAGAAACAACAGATAGACCTAATGCACACATTTTGCAAAAACTAGGCCCACCTGTATGGTCAGACCTGCTTCCTAGACTTTGTCACAGTTTGGCCAGCAGATCTACCAGAAGCAATAGACCTGTTCTGAACATCCAGAAGTGGGATGGACTTATGCGCAACCAGGCACAAATAGTGCAGTTTGAGATAAATGTTCCAAACAAACAGGTGTACAGTCCAAAATCTAAGTAACACAAAAAACTGTGTTACATGAGCTGATGTAAAGAGGGGCTGTAAAAAGTAGACTGAGTAGTCAAGATGCCTCTAGAACCCCAAGCCTTGCTCAAGCGGCTCAAGCGTACTCTTTCCTCTGCACTGCCAAAGATTCGGTGGTGTTGTCCAGTGTGCCACCACTGTTTCCAAGATGAAAGAGGTTATTGTGGAAAAGGGGACTCCATTGCTGACCAGTGTTATAGAAAGGACAATAATGCCAGAAAATGCCCAGTGTGGCCCTTTCAAGACTGCTGCACTGTGTTTATGAATCTTCTCTTTCTTGCTATGAGGTTTTTGGTTTATTATTCCTTGAAAGTTTTGTTGGATTTTTTGATGTTTCTTGAGTGAAGTTAAAATTATCACTTTTTTCCTCTAGTGCAGTCAAATTCACAGGCTTTGATTCTACTCTGTGTAGGCTTCCGTTGTCATGAAATGTGACTCTAAGCAAAATACTCCCAAGTATGCACAATTAACATACCACCTTGCAGTATTGCCTGACACCTGGAAAACTCCTGTGGACACTCATATATAAGAGGCATTTAAATCAGTATGAGGTACAGTTTTTCCAAAACTCAGATCTCATTTAGGAGTTCCAGATATTTGTTGAACTGAATATCAGGGCAAGGTGTGATCTGGGATTTCCTTGCAGGTCCCACTTTATATTCCACATTCATATTAATCCAGGTATGAGAATTTATCCAAGACAGGACACTTAAGACTGGTACCATAGTTAAGGAAGTAGACAGAAGCCATTAAACTAGCCTAAGACTCTTTCGGAACTAGACTGGTACTTAGAAAAGATGTTTGTGTGCATTCAAATATGCAAATGCACTCATGAAGGAAGAAAACAAGTTTAAAAGGTGCATTGTGTTATATTGCACATAGCCCCAAGTAAGTGTCTATCTTTATAGAAGTCCCAGGAGTAAGAGTACTGTGTTCCACTGATTTTCATTTTTAAACTGAAAATGTTATCTGTGTGACTATAAGTCACTTAGGCTGTAGTCCTTAGTACTTTTATATGGAATGTAGGTTTGGAAATCCATGGGACAAGACTGGAGTGAGAATGAGGTGACAAACGCTTCTGGAAATTCTGGCCACAGTTCTTATCTCCTCTCCCTTCGCTCCTTAACCTTACCCTGAACAAAGCATTTTGGTGTAAATAGAAGAGCCTGTGAATGTGATATGTTTCCTGTTTATGACATTTTTGGCTCTGTTTTGTATGTTTCCAGCTAGGAATAAAAACCTATAAAAAGGAGAACATTGAGAGTCACAAGGACTATTCTCGGAAGACACTTATTGCCTTAGTCACCTCTGGTTTGTTGCTGGCATTTCTGGGATTGGCTGCATATCACTTCATGAAACGACGGAGCTGGAGTTCCATGGGAGAGAGGCTGGTTAGTGCTTATAGCTGGCAAAACAAGTAGATGGAACTCTAAATTCATGTGAAGGAGAGAATGCCAGAAGCTTTCTAGAAAGCTAAATCTAAGTCTTACAAGCATTAATAACAATCCCTGTATGTAGGTTCTACTGGAAATGGATAATGATGAAAAGACCAAAGCATCTTTTCCACAGAACTGATTAGCATAGCTTTTGTCTATCAATGAATCCATCTTGTTAAGGCAGGGAAATATAAAGGTTGAGGCACTTGTGGTTATTCAAGCACTCTACATTCCAGGTTTTGAATTAATGAGACCTTCATGTTTTTACACTACTGATAATATAGGTGATGTTTTTAGTTATAGAAAATCTATTTCACTAATATTACTACTAACTATAATATGTGCTTTTTGCTCAACAGTAAGAATTCATAAGTCGCAAACACCCTTCAAGAGTGAATTATATTTTTCTGCACATCATTGTTTTAAATTCAAGTTAAATTCAACTTGTGTATTGGCTGTACTAAGGACTGCTCCCTACCATTCAGCTAACAAATTATGACAATAAAGGACATGAAGAAAGATGATATTTTTGATACCTTTGTTGACTTCTAATTTTTATATGTTCCCCATTTATGGCTGTTTGCACCCTTCTGAAAACTTCCAGTTTCTAATCTTAACAGTTAGAATTGTAATTGTAAAAAATGTGGATACATTTCATCATTTTGAGATGTGCAAACATTACTACACAAACTCAGAAAATGGAGGGTTTAATCTGCTTAAATACACATTAAACATGTTTGCATGTAAAACAATGACAAAGATTGCTTCTAAGGAAGCAATAGGAAATGTGTAACCCCCAGATGTTTTAGCCTACAGTTTCCATCAACCCCAGCCAGCATGGCCAATGTTGAAGAGGGATGCAAGGCTAAAACATCTGGAGGGCCACAAATCATCCATCCCTGTTCTTGGGAACAAAACTTCTGGCAAGCATAATATAGGGTGGGAATATAATGGGAAAGCTGTTTTCCTTTCCTTGCCCACTGCTTTTTCATTTAAGCTTCCTTCCTTAAACCATTTTTTAAATGAGAAGGATTTGTCCTTCAAGCTAAACCTGCTGAACAGGTACCTTCAGCAAAGAAATCTCTCACAGAGATATGACAAACTGAATTTCTTTAATCCCCTGCTCATTCTTGGATGGCAAATGAAAAGCTTGAGCTGATCAGAACGTGATCTCTATGGATCATCAGAAAACCTAAATATGTGTAACATGATCTATTCCTAATAAGGGACATTGAGGGAATGGTCCACAAAGGGCCTTTAACACTGTATTTACATATTTATTTTACTTACCGAAATTTTGTTTTCTGGAACAAAATAGTATCCTACCTGAATAAGGGCCAATTTACATATGATACCACATCCATGGACCTGGACTAAATCCCCTTTCTGAATAATATAAACCAGCAGGGATGAAATGTATTCAGCTTCAGAGCCAGATTCTATTTTGGAGCATTTCTTGGGAGCCACATTCCAGTGATAGATGAGGCCAAATGAACAAGGCCCAGTGCAACCACCTCTATACTTGTAAAACAATCAACTCAGGATCTTTTAATGACCTCTCACTGGATCACTGTTCACTGGCTGGAGATAAGAGCAAAATAAATCTGCAGGCTGATTGAGAATACTCATGGTCCACATATGGCCTGAAGACTGGAGGCTCCCCATCTCTGTCATAAACCTTTGATTGGTTGGCTGCCAGTGGTATCACAAACCTAGAGGATGGGCTGCTGTCCATTTATTGAGTTAGTACCTATGTTAAAATTTTTAAAAATAAATAGTGTCAGATCATTGCCCACTTTTCTGACCACCCCGAAACATTGTATACATGTATAAAAGCAGATCTTGGAGCAGAAATGTTTCTACTGGAAAGCTGAAAAACATACTCCTCTTCAAGTGTTCAATACCCCACAAGTTTTAAATGAGTTCTCACACCCATATGAGGTCAGTTATAGCATTAGGCAGCCTAGAGAAATAGGATGCAGTCCTATGTATGCTTAGACAGCCCTACTTCTCCCAGCATGCCCTAGCCAGCTATGCTGGGAGTTGCAAGATGTGTTTCTGTCTGAACATATATAAGATTGTGGCCTTAATGAATTCATCCTTTTAGTACCACACGTAAGGATTGCCAATGCCTGTTGTGCATGTCATGCATATTTGTCATGCATATAAACATGCCTGTAGCATTGTGCATGAAAGACAAAGAATTTAAGTTAGACTTCTTCCAGCTCCAGGGAAAAGACTACAACTCCATGGTCAGAGTACCTACTTTGGAAGCAGAAAGTCCCTGATTCAGTTCATGGCATTTGCAGCTAAAACAGATCAGGAAACAGGTGCTGGAAAGAATTTCTCTGCCTGAGACCCTGAAACTACTGCCAGCTGGAGTAGGTAATACTAGACTAGCCGGACAAATAGTCCAGTATAGGACAGCTCTCCATTCCTATTCCTATTTTATTTCTATACTGCCCAATAGCCAAAAGCTCTCTGGGCACTATACAACATTCATAAGATACAATGTAAAAATAACATTAAAACATCATAAAATTAAAAGAACATTGCACAACTTAAATAATTAAGACAAGGTCATGCAACTTGGTCTGCTAAGGGCAGCTGAGATGAATCCCCTTGTGTGCTATTCAGAGCTGGTGCAAAAAGGTTCCAGGTGGGCCTCAGTGGGGAGATCAGGAGGCTGCCACAGAAAAGGTCCTCTCTGTGTTGCTGTCAACTGAGGTTCCCTTGGAGGGGCACTTGGAAGAAGGCCTCAGATGCTGAGCAGAGAATCTGAGTCAGTTCTGGTTGGGAGAGGTCCTTCAGCAGATATTGCAGTCCTGAGCCACAAACTGCTTCATAGTTTGAAAAGAGGACCTTGAATAGGGCTTGAAAGCACTTACATAGACAGCCAGTGCAAACGGACCAGAATTGGTGTTACGTGTTCTGACCTTCTGGTCCCAATTATTAGTCTGGTCCCAGTTATCATATTTTGCACAAACTGCAGCTTCTGAACAGTTTTCAAGGTCAGCCCCACTTTATTACTCTTACTGCATTCAGTTTAGTCTGACTACCATGATTCAGAGGCTACTGCAAGTTATTCCTCTTCTAAACCAAGTTCCTGTGTCTTCCTGTTCACAGAAATCAATATTACTACCTAGTAGATTAAATGATTGGAAGGAGAAACGCCATTTCTTCCATGTGGATTCTAGACCAGTTTGTTGCCCATGTGATGCCCTTGTCTAACTCTCTATTTTGTTATTGTATCACCCATTTAGGGGGAAGATCCATATTACACAGAAAATGATAGCCATGGCAACCCTGTGAGCTCTGTGGCCTCTCATGAACACTCCGACCTGCAGGAAAAACCAAATATCAACGGAGGGGCTCGGGAAAATGGGACTGGCCAGGCAAGCTCAAAAAACGGACAGTCAGGCCAGCCTCACATTGCTGACACTGAGCTGTGAAAGGCTGTGGCCCAAAGCCTTTTTCATATGGTTTGCAAATCCAGAATGAAAATATAGAGGAGATGGGATGCAAGAGTATCACAAATGGAATCATAATCCTTTTTATTTTTACAAAGAGCTCAAAGTCCCACCCTAAAGCATACATTTTCCAAGAGCTGCCACAGGAGTTAGCTGTGTTCAAGTTTTGTTCTGCTTAGCAAGCTGCTTCAGTGGGATTGGGCATGTTCTCGGTAACTTATCGCACTTTGTTTCAGATCAAAATGAGATGTGACCAGCCTTCACAACAATTCATCCAGGGAAACGACAGGGATGTTGTTTTGAAATTTAGAGATTTGTCATTGTTAGACAATCATTTTACAGGTCCACATAGTGTTGTGGGGAAGGGAGGGCGATTTTACTGTAAAGATGTGCAATGTCAATGAATGGTGGGAGATTTTCGTCAGTGAAATCAGTTATGTGAATGCTCAAATACATGGCCATTAGAGTGACTGGTCCAATTCAATTTGAAGCCACATTCTTAATTTTTCAAGATATAAATAATTCCCTTTGGAGGATATTGTAGTGCATTTCTTAGATCTGTTCACCATGCCAAAATTACTAAAAATACCAACTGGGTGTTTGAAAAAATGTGTATCAAAACACAGAGCACTCCCAAACTTATTTCTTTGGTTGGATTCTACATCCAACTCAGACACCCCTCCCCACCTCTCTGCTTTGCGCTGCATTGCCCTTAACACTGAGTGACAGTAAGTCTGCAACCTATCCTAAACCTTCTGAAACACCATTCAGTAATCCCACTAAACAATATGGATTAAATTCTGTTTTAGCTTGCTTTCCCACAGAAAAAATGGTGTACTTTCAATTTAGAAACCAAGATAAAATATGGAAAGACAGCTTTCATAATCAGTCTAGAAGTAAAATAGGCAACTGGGCTTGAATGACAGATGTTGTTCATGTGTTCCATTGATGCAACATCTCTCTTTGAGGATTCTGTCTTCCATAGTCATATAATGAGAAAATGGAATCGAAACCATAGAGCAATTAATTATTGGTGATAAAACAGAAAACAAACACTAGAAACTTGGGATGATATCCATCACCATACTCGTGGAAGGGAGTTTCCAGGTGCTTAACTATCATGCCACCATCTTCCCCAGCAATCCCCAGAACCCCACATACCCACAGGCTACACAGACATTCTTGAATGAAGTGGGCTGTGGTAGAAGAGACTTGAGGGGGAATTGGGGACCCCCCAAATTGGGTAGGGGCCTCATATGCAACTGACACTTCTTCACATACAATGCCTCTGCTATATTTTCAAGGATCTGTGATTTTCCCTCAGCCACTGGGCCAAAGCCCAACCCATTCAGCAGGGCCACAAACCCATCTGTGAAGCATTATTAGCGCTTCCAAAGGCTGCTAAGAGCAGGAGGAGGCAGGGAAGTTCACTTCCTAGAACTCCCACTAGCACAATCTTGGATGGCACCATTGTCCTCAATCCTGTCTAACAAAGTCCTCTTGAAATCAATGAGCACATTCACAATAATGGCACTATTATCACTATTGTCAGTCATCTAAAGATGCAATTCTATAAGCACGTACTCAGAACGTAAATTCAATTGGAATTACTTCTACATAGATGTGTACAGAGTGTGCCGTAACTTAAATAAAGTGCCTTTGGACTGGAGCCTTCGGATCTAATTTTTAAAATTCATATTTTAGAATATATTGTGAATAGAAGCTCAATCACATCAGGTGTTTCAATTAGCTAGGCTTGGTCTCATGCCATATGCTAGTACTTCTTTTCTCTTTGCCCAAATGCTAGAAAATTGTTTCTCCACTTGGTGCTTTACTCTCCCTGCCCCCGCCTCCCATGTCCTGTGCCACCCTGGAATTTGCTGACTTTGTAAATATAATTTAGAATGTAGAATACAGTGCAAAACACACCCAGGATTTGAAATGAATTCTTTTCTTTTTTTTTCTTTTTTTTTTTTGTTCCTTTTGTCAATCAGTATGGACATATTTTCCTGAATGGCATCATTATTTGCTAAAGAAGGCTGATATATTTTAGCAATTCTGTTCTATACCACAGCACCATCTTCTGTTGTGTAAAAGAATGTATAGAAAGGCAAAGAGAACCTCCCCTGGGATTTGAAGACAAGAGTGAAGGACTTTCTAATCCTTCTACAAAGAAAATAGAAATTTCATACAGTTCTGGGTTAAACCCCACTTGAGCAAAGTCAAATGGTAGTTCCAGATAGATAAAGGATATTCCCAGATATTCCCAGCTTCTTCTGGCTTTGTAACTCAAGAAAACTATAATTTATTTACACAAAAAGTCAATAGTGGGCTCTGGGATTCTCCTCCTCTGATGTCATTAATATGTCAGGGTTTCCTCTATCTACATGTTAAATGTAGAATAAACAATGAAGCACAAACTGACTTGGGCATCTACCAATGTAGAAAGAATCACAACAGTATCCTGTTAGAGGTGGGTACTGACTTAAGGTATTGAAAATGAAAGTAGACCAACGGATTTATTTTAAAATAAGTAACTTGCTAGTTTACAAGAACTCCTGTTCCTTTACTTTAGTTCATTTGACCTTTGTGTTTTTTTCTGCAAGAGTATTTCTGGACAAGAGGAACAAAACTATTTTACTCAGAATGGCTTTCTCAATTCTTGTATGTCACTCATTCTTCTCATAGTCTTTGAAGACCAGAAATATTGGCCACTTAATTGTGATCCAAACTTTTCTGCTAGGTTACATGGGTTAATCTGCAATATCAAACTCAAATTCAGTTCAAACTGAAACTAAATTTATGGTGGAATGAGTTGAATAGAAACTGTAGAAGCTATTTTGGGGGCTAAGATCCTGAGGATGGAGAGCTATGTTAACATAAGAATGAATGGTGTCTAAGCTATCTTTTTTTTTTTTTTTTTTCAGATAATCCCCATCATTTTTGATAATCCTAGTCAATCTTAGGCATTTGGAAACTTAACACTATGACCATGTCCACATGACCAAATTAAGCCACCATGGCTTGATGTGATCTGTAGTGTGTATAAGCCACTATATTTCTAATTACACACCTGGACATGTGTTATGTCAGAGAAAGTCAGAGGTGTAGCCTGTTTGAAGAGGAAACAACCCTCAAATGACCAATAACCTACTGTAGGTTTATTTAAGTCACCATGCTCTGTCTGAATGTGTAAACTAGCCTAATGTCTCTTTAGAAGGAACACAATCCTGTGAAAGTTTAGACAGAGATAAAGGCCTATAACATTGCAGCTATGGTGGGTTTGTGGCATGTTGGGAATTGCAGGCTTTTTTTCTAGGTAAACTTGTATAGGATTACGCATCTATTCAGTCTTTCCTGTTTGAGTGTAGTTAGGACCAGATATAATACATCTTTAGTTGTGGCTGTCATTGCAGACACTTTTTATACCTCAAGTGCACAAGCCAAAACCCTGGTCTTAGGCGACTTCTGTGGAATGGAGATATGTAAGTTTTCTAAATATTGATCAATGGCACATCCATTCATGAGAAACTTAATGTCATCTGCATCCCCATTATAAGCATTATCAATTTTGAGTTTTCTGTAAAATATTAGGGCTGTAATTGGAGAATCTTTTGTAGATCTGGAGGATCCCAGTATATGTCAGTATGTATAAGAATCAATTGTAACATGAATTTTAAGTGGTAGAAATTTGATGCTTTCTTTTCCTTATTGTTCTATACACATTTTGGTTTGAAGCCTACATCTTCAAGAGACCTGAAATCTATTGTTTAACATGTGAAGGTCTGTTACAATGGTGTGATATGTTGGGAATTACTATAGTAATTACTATAGTATAGTACCATTACATACAGTAATTCATCCTTTAAATGGGAAGTCCCATGGCACTCACAAATACTCAGGCTGTAACCCTATACCACATTCCCTGAAACCAAATGCCATTCACTTCAATAGGAATTTGCTCTCCCTCAGCTTTATGTGGCGTGGTGATGAGGTATCTTGCAAAAAATGCAAGGTTCCCCTATATGCTGTATATCACAAATTGGGGTGTACACCAACCACAAGTTCTGGTTCAGACCAAGATTTAGTAAACGGGATTTGGCTCAGAGTGGTTTAGAGGCTGTCCACTTCAGCTGAGGACCAAATTCAAATCTCAGTTTGGAAATCCAAATTTTCATGCCTCCTGCTGGCTATCAACAAATGTCTATAACTTTTTTCTGAAGCTGACAGAACTGCACTAGATTTGTATGCATTGTTGTATTTTATGAGGGAATTATGCCTTCCAGATTTCAGACAAATAGATGAAGAAGTGTGTGCTATTTATTTTCATATGTTGAGGGGGTTTTTTTAAGGGAAACTGCCAATAACTTCTCAAATTTCTTGACAGAATTTTATGAAATTGTTGTGCCTTTTGAAGGGATCAAGCATGCCAAGTTTAAGACAAATAGGTTCAGCAAGCCTTCTGCCAGAACAAAGTTAAGAGAGTTCAAAAATATTGCATGTTATCACCCTATGATTTTTGTGGGCAATTTTAACCCCAACCCTATAGTTTAGTCATGATCCTAGGTAAGAAACTTGGACATTTTTGAAAGGGCAGATGCAGCACTTTCTGTGGAACAGGAGTGCTCAAATTTGGGATGGAGTGGCAATTTGTATGAAAATGATATGTCATAAAGGTGCCCTTAAGCACGAACCTACAAAATGTGAAAACATTTGATGAAGGAGATCCAGAGTGACAACTGAAAGGTGATTAGAGAATTCTTCCTTTTCATACGCAACTGACACCAAAGTCACAATGTGCAACAGGATGTGGCTGAATGATGTATGTGAAGCATCTAATGATAGCAACGAAAGGGCTTGAACACCCAACATTTTCCAGCAAAGCACCCTCCCAGATTCTGCAAACCCTGTTTCCATATACCTGTTACCAGAGGAAAGAACTAGCAAAGAGCATTAGATCAGTCCTGCAATATATCACCTCATCATCCCTCCACCAAGAGCACTGAGATTGCAGAGTCTTAATAAAACTGTTTACTTGTTATTAAAAGTTTTTTGTCAGTCACAAAACTACACCCCGTTCTGTCCCTTCTCCATCCTGCTGGTTTCTTTATACAAAAAACTTGAGAAGAAATGTATCAGAATTCATCATCTTCAGCTGTGTTCAAATTCAGACTCAGTCTGCTTTGAAATCTCCCAAAACTGTCCCAATCAGCACAATTCAATTGCTTCCAAAGGATATCCTTACCATTAAAAAAAATTACAGAAAGGAAATAATTCTTGACTGGAATACTAATAATGTAGCATATGAACTGGCAGATTAACAATAGAGAAGAGAAGAGAAGAGAAGAGAAGAGAAGAGAAGAGAAGAGAAGGAGGTTGGGAATTACAGTCTTCCAAGCCAAGAAGGAGTGGTTGCCAGGAAAAGGTTAAGACAGAATGTGAGGCTATATAAAGCAGGGCATCCTTCAGGTTGTAAAGGCAAAGGGTAAGCCACACAATGGGAATAATGGAAAGCTTTAGACCTACTTAGAATGATTTCAGTAAAGAAATGGGGAGACACTGGGCCTTGATATATCTTGTGCCAGAGAAAGGGAAATTGTATTAATGGATTTTATTTCATAATCAACACAAATGATCATATTTCCTCACTGTTCATGAGTACTTAGAAACTCATAGCGGACGTAAATTACTCTCCCGTTTACAGGTTTTGGGTGACAAATTCAAACTGCAACAATCACTCATATAGATTTGACCTAGCCTAATTTAACCTAATACAGTTAGACCATCTAATTCCCACAGAGCTAGCCTTGGGGGTAGCTTTGCTCAAGGCAGGAAGTGGCCACTACAGTTTTCAGTAGAGAGAAAGTAGGCTTTGTGGAAAAATTGGACTGGCATGCGGGTCTCTTGCATCCCTTCAACTGAACTCACATACACAGCTAGCTGACAGCCGACACTTGCTCACTGCCTTCAGTATCTAGACACAATGCTCTCCGTCTGGTTTATGTGGAGCAGAAGTGAAGTGCTTTGCAAAACTTGAAGTTTCTCCTGCATGCTGTATACCTCTAGGGTCCCCGTTCCAGTAGGGCAGTGGAACTCTTGCCCTCGTCCTCCCCCAGTTTCCATGTTCAACACATCCACCCACTAACAGCACACATCATCAAAAGGGAAATGAGAAAAGATTATACCCCCAACAGGCCAGACACTTAGTGAAGGTTTTTAGGAGCTGCTATGGGCAAATCTAGCCTCTTCCATGACTTTAGGCTGCAAGTATAGGGAAATAAAGGGAATTCCTGGGAGGCTGTATTACTTTTCCTCACAATTAAAACAATCCCTTTGACAAAGAAAAAATATGCCCTGACCTGTAGCGGCGTAAGAAAACAAAAGCTGTTCCCAAACTGTCTGAAGCCAAAGGAAATACCAAGCATGGTGCCAGCAGAGGTGCAGAACATGAGAGAACTCCAGGCCGGAAAGGCTCTGCTCATAGCTACAGGAAGTTTTCCCCAAGTGAGTAAACATACTCAGTGCAGCTTGAGCGAAACTGAATGCACTTATTACTCTTTCCTTATCAACCTACACGCATTTTCCTGCAAAAATGTCTCCTTAATCTCTTGCTTTTAAAAGTCAGGATGCTGATAACAGTTTAACCCTGCGAAATCTCTAACAGTTCTA